CAAATATGTGAAGATTGTGTTGTGTAAACAAACCGATTACAGTCCAAAAGAAGCAACACAAGGAGAGCCAAAAAAATACTAGAGCTGATTTACTCTGATATTTGCGGTCCTATTAATCCTGTATTAAATTACAAAAAATAAATATTTTATTTATTTTATTGATGATTATTGTCGAAAGACATGGGTATACTTTTTATAGAAAAAATCTAAACACTTAATGATGTTTAAAAATTTTAAAACTCAAGTGGAGAATGAAGCAGGGACAACCATTAAAACATTATGCACTAATCGTGGTGGTGAATACATGTACCATGAATTCTCAAAATTTTGCAATGAGCTGAGAACTCGGAGAAAAATGATAGTAGCTTATACACCCAATAAAATTGTGTAGCAAAGAGAAAAAATCAAACCATTCTAAATATGGTTAGAAGCATGGTGGCAAATGACAAAGTTTTAAAGTGGTTCTAGTCAGGAGCAGTAAAGTATAGTGTTCATATTTTGAATAGGTGCCTCTCACTTGCTGTTCAAAATATGACAACTGATGAAGTTTGGAGCGAATATAAACCAGCAGTTGATTATTTTAATTTTTTTATGCATTGCATATGCAGATATTCCAGATGAAAAGAGAAAAAAACTAGATGACAAGAGCGAAAAATTATTTTTCTTGAAATTAATGAACAGTTAAAAGTTCACAAATTGTTTAATCTCATCATAGAAAAATTTGTTATTAGTTGATATGTTATTTTTTATTAAAGAAATACATGGAACTGGACTAGAAAATATGCAGGTAAGCAACAAATACTTGTGAATTTTGAAGAAGAAAAAGAAGCAGAAATGCAGGGGCAAATAACTTTATTTGATGTTCACCACCACCACCACCAACCGCTTGATAATACTAAGATCCAAATAATAGGTAAAGACTCACAATCTGAACGAATAAAAATGAGACCAGTGTGGATGGATGATTATGACATTAATGGTATTTAATCTAATGATACTCTTACTCATTATGTTTTATTATCATATTATGATCTAATAACATTTCACGAAGCTGTTAAAGATATAAGATGGCAAAAAGCAATGAGTGAGGAGACCATGTCTATTGAAAAAAAATAACACATGGGAATTAACAGAACTTCCAAAAGGGCAAAAATCTATTAGTGTCAAATGAGTTTATAAAACTAAGTTGAACAAAGATTGCAAAGTTGACAAGTATAAAGTTTAGCTTGTCGCAAAGGGATACAAGCAGGAATATAACATTAATTACAAGAAAATTTTTGCCTCAGTTGCTAGGCATAATATAATTCAAATGGTGATGGCTTTAACAACACAAAATTCCTAGTCTATTTGACAATTGGACGGGAAATCAGTATTTTTACATGGTAATTTAAATGAACAAGTCTTTATCGATCAGCCTTTTGGTTATGTAAAAGAATAAAGTGAAAAGAAGGTGTACAGGTTGAATAAGGTTTTATATGGGCTTAAACAAGCACTTTGAGCTTGATATAGTCATATAAATTCTTATTTACTAATGCAGGATTTCACAAATATTCATATGAGCATACTCTCTTTATTAAACTTGGTGATGCAAATAAAATTTTGAGTGTTTTTTATACGTAGATGACTTGATCTACACAGAAAATGATCCAACAATGTTTGAAGATTTTAAAAAATCTATAATGGCAGAATTTGAGATGACCAATTAGGAATGATGCACTATTTTCTTGGAATCAAAGTACTACAGTTAACAATTAGTATTTTTATCACCCAAAAAAAGTATGCTTTGGAGATTTTGGATAAGTTTAAAATGTTGGATTGTAACTCAGTTAGAACTCAAAGTGAACTGGGTCTGAAGCTTATAAAGGACTCTGAAAAGAAAGAAAACTAATAGTACATTCTACAAACAAATTTTTGAAAGCTTAATGTACTTAACAACAACAATCCCTTATACAATGTTTGTTGTAAGTTTTATTAGCAGGTTTATGAAATCTCCAACTGATCTCCATCTTCTTATAGTAAAAAGAATCTTGCACTAAATAAAAGATACACTTGATTTTGGTATTTTTTATTAGAAAGAAAAAAGATTAGATCTTGTTAGCTTCAGTAACAGTGATTATGCAAAAGACTTATAAAGTAGAAAAAGTGCTTTTAGTCATGTATTTATGATGAGTTTAAGGGCAATATCATGGGCATAAAAAAGGTAACAAGTTGTCTCTCTATCCACAACTGAAGTTGGGTTTATAACAACAGCTTGCTGTACATGTCAAACTATTTGGTTGAAAAAAATATTCGAGTTATTGCATTATTTCAAGCAGAGGCCTATATATGTTTATTGTGATAATAACTTAGGTATTAAACTCTGAAAAATTCCAATTTTACATGACAGAAGCAAATATATAGATGTGAAATTTCATTTTCTTAGTGATCTCACAAATGAAGAAGACACTGAATTGGTTTATTGTTAAAGTGAAGACCATATTGCGGATATTCTAACCAAGCCTCTCAAGTTGGCTGCATTTGTGAAGTTGCATACTCTACATGGTGTTTGTTCAATTTATAATTTAAACTGATTGTATAAATTTAAAATTTTATTATATATTTAAGAGTTATTAGTCATGAATTAATAATTACTCAATTCAACAGTTATGGAGCAGTAGAGTAATAGTATCTTAACCATGAAGTAGTGATCATGGAGTAGTGGTCTCTTAATTTCAGCATTTATTAAATATGTGGATTAGTGATGTTCTTAGTAGGTTAGTGGTAATTTATTTTTTATAACGTTTGTTTATTTTTGTCATATTTAAACGAACTGATTTTATAACTAAAAATCACTTGAGTTCAGTTCAATTCTTCTACTACTTTATTTTTACAATTCAATCAAATATGAAATTATAAAAATATATATTTTATTATTCAATTCTTGCATATAAAAAAAATATAATTGAAACCAAATAACAATGCAGATCTCGTGAATTTTAATAATTTTATGTATAATACTTAGTTTTGGTATTTATTAACTTTAATAGAATTAACAAATGTTGTTTGAGAAGAAATTTTATACAATACTCTTCCTAATTATTAAAAGAAATTATAATCTACAATAAAAGACATAAAATAGGTTTCCATTAAGATAAATTATGATAATAATCTTAAGTCAACAATCTTTAGGAAACTATGTTTCCTGCTCGAGTTAAGTGTTATCAATTAACAACAATATATTGTCACTTTATCACGAAGCTTAATAACGTTTGTCAAGCACTTCGAGATGCATACAATTCAATCTCTATGTTTAATCATTTAGGAAAAAAAAACATTTAAAATTTTAGAATGGTTGGTGGCTTCACAATGTACTTACAACAACCTCTCAACAAGTCATGTGTATAATTTCAGGTTCATTAGAATCTGTTTACAAGTTATTATAAACAAATATGTGAAAAAAAAAATATAGTTGTAAGATTGTAGCAATATATAACTAGTTTATTGGTTTTTTCAATGAAATACATTTAAGCATTTAGGTTTTGTTAATATAAATCAATATTAGAATTTACTTCACAAAAATTACCAACTACTTTAAATATAGACATTTATCAAAATAAAAACTCTTATTCAAGCACTTATCTTTCATTGACACCAACTTAACCCATGTAATGACACGATATTCGCTCGTTCTCTTTAGCTCTTTTTTGGATTTTATAATCGCAACTTTTAAGGGTGTGCTTGTTGCAAATCCTATAAATCTCCTATTTCAACTTCTTACCAATCATCTCTTCTTCTTCCACTGTTATTGTGGTAGGATTTGGCAATAGTATGACACACTTTCTCTGTGCAAGATCTAAGATCATTTTTACCTACTTGGAATACCATTGAAATTATCAATGGATCTTATTGAGTTTGGCTTTAAGAAGATCATTGAATAATTTCAAGTCTTTTCATCCTTGAGATACTTTTATTATGTCTTCAAGTTTTGAAAATTTAGTATATTCGTTTGGATCACCTAGTTGCTTATCTTGGTGTTATATAGAGCTTTCCCCTCGTGTGCTTTGAAACTATCATTTTCAGTAAATTTTAATCATGTGATAAAGGGGTCATTCCAAAAAAATAGAGTAATTAACAAAATCATTCATGTTGAGTTTAAAGTACCAAAAGGATAAATTTTTTTAGGTATAGAATTCAAAAGTTTGGATGTGACATTGAACTGTCATATATTTATAAGATAAATAGAAGAATATATTAAACATAAATGTATTATGTTAATTTCTTTTTATGATGTCTTCATACTTTTATACTGTATAAAAAATTTAAATATATAAAAAATATTAATTGAAATAAATTAATAGGGTATTTTTGTTATTAATTAATAAGTATTACAATAAGCTTAAAAATAAGAAGTATTATAATAATTTTATCATTGTTGTTAAATTTAATATGCAAGTTCAATTGTAAAACTATAAGCGTATAGTTGTTTATAAAATATAGAAATTTTTAAATTTTTAAAATTAGTTTTTTTTTGGGTATATTATACCAAAACTCTGAAAAGTTTGTAATTTACCCACTTTTTATTGGGTTTATGTCCTTAATTTGCTAAATCCAAATCCACTTGTACGAGATGTGTAAACTGATTGGCTTCAAATTTTGCAATTCTATAGAGAACAACCCGCGTTTCAGGAATTCTCTCTTCTCTTTCGGACGTAAGTCAGCAGCCGGATTTCGCCAGATGCACCGGCGACCGCCCAGCTCAGACGTACCGTTCGGAACTCTTCCACAGATCCTTCACTAGCTGCATAGATCCAAACTCTTCCCCGTTCGACGTTCACAAAGCCGGTATCTGTGCTCTTGCCGTACACGTTCCGTGTTATTTTTTCAAGCTGCACTGACTATTTTTTCCAACCTGCTAATCAAGCAATTTTAGTACGTAAATTCAACCTCAAAACCCTTTCTCCAGTGAGGAAACGAGCAATCATCCAAAGGAAGAAGATGGCTGTCAACGAATCTCAAATTTGGGGCTATTAGAGTAGTGTGAACACGTGACTTGGCAATGCCAATGAACCTCAATCATTTATGCCCGTGCGTATCTGTATCTTCCCAAGTTCACCATTGACCCTCAACTGGAGATTCATGCAAAAGGTAAGACGAGATGCTAAATTATCTTCTTTTTTTTTCTTTGAATTTTTCGTTTAGAACTCGAGTTAAAAGTTGAAACGGGGCTTGCCGGTGAACACAGAAGTTCCTAGATGGACAAGCAACTTTTTTTTTTTTTTTAATCTTATGGACTTTAATTTCTAGTTCATGTGTTTGATAAATTGGGTGAGTGAAACGTTACTGTTGTGGGGTTTTTTTCTTATTGTTAATATGTGAACATTCTGTAGCAAAGCAAGCGATTTGTTTATTGTCTATTCTACATGGAGATTTTTGTTCGTCATTAGGTTCTTCATAAGGTTTTGGCTGCAAATACAAATTGCTCTTTTGATTTAGGTTTAGGATTTTGGTTCGCGGATTGCAATTTTTTGAGTCAATTTTGTCCATGCTTATATGTTTCAATGGAAGAGAATGTAAGATAGGAAAGCAAATTTTTAGTCATAAATTGTTCACAATTTCATGAGTTCACAAATTTCTCAGATCTAGATATTTATTCTTTATTATATACTCTATTTCTCTCGAAATTCAGTTCTTCTGTGAGTTTTGGTTTGTTAAATCCGTGATTTAGTTTTTATTATTTAGCATCTTCAGTGTATTACTATGTTCGTGTATAGCTGTGGAAGTACTTACTAGCTCTGAGCCTTTTCTGTTGACTTGATCAACTGATATTTGTGGACTTGTTATTCATTGCTTTTTATTTAGCACAAATTGGCTTTATTTCAAGATGGTAAAATAGGATCTCAGTTTCTTTCTATACAGCCTGATAACTTGGTGATGAGGATTTCAAAAAAGTAAATATGGAGAGCCAGATTCAAAGGTCCATTTCTTTACGGTTAAATCGCAGAGGAGAACGGAGTAGCCAAAACTTAAATGCTAAAGGTGAGAAGATGCTGCACATATTCATGCTTCCTAATGCAACAAAGAATATTTCTCTGGTCTTAGTGGATATTTAATGTAGCATGTGTTCATGATCTAATGTAGACGAGATAAATTGCATCTTCTGGGTTTAATATTGCTTTATTTTACATGACAGGGCAACTATTTTTTTATCGTTAGATATAAAAGCAAATTGTTTTTCTTTTGGATATTTAGCAAGTCATGCCTTCCGATATTTTTTTTTGGCTTTCTTTTTTCTTTTTGTGATAAAAGAGAATGTCTTTGCATTCTGTAATGAGGTAGATTGTGGTTTTGGATTGGGATGTCAATAAGTTATGTTTATGGTGATGCAGACGCTGAAGGTGGTTTCTTTTCTCCTGAGAGGTTGCCCCAAGATTATACGATGAAGATCATTTGGAAGAGGGGCTTCATTCGTTTGGTTTTTGTAGCAGGCATCCTGTGGATGTTGCTCATTCTTGTTGTATCACTATTTCATCTTTGGTCTTGTCAATCTTCAGTAGCTTTCTTTTCAGGTATTTCGGAAGAAAATACCTTATGTGGGGTGCTTATGTGTGTATTAATTATTCAAAGTTGGTCTAAAATATTATTTTTTCATTCACCTCTAAGTTGGTACCTTAAGTTCATTTGCAGTTACTGAATTTCTTATTAAGGTGGACACAGTAAAAAGGATGCATTCTAATGAATGATCAATTTTCAAAACACACTTTCATTATTCAAGTCTTTTCTGATTAGTGAAATATACTTATTTTCGTCTTGGTACGTGTTGCCTTGTGAACAACTTTTCTTATTCAAAACATTCTAATGAAAATGTCAGAATTTCAAAATATACTTTCATTATTCAAAACTTTTCCTATGAGTGAACTTTGCTTATTTCCGTCTCAGCACATGTCGCATTGTGCTTTATGTCGATGCACACACTTGGAGGTGTTTCCTCATGTTGTTTCATCCTTACCTCCACATTCTATGGCCAAGAACGAAGTTATCATTGTTATATAATCTGTGATTGTGAATAATTCAGAACTTGCTTATAAAACTTGCAATACCTTATTATTGGTATATACCTGATTTAGTTAGTGGTACAAGGAGTGGTGAACAAGCTCTAATCAATAAATTACTCTTTGAAAACCAGATTCTTCTCCCAACAGTTTGAAAAAATTATGATTTCTGTGTTATATGCAGCTTTCTGCAACAGAGAAGGCAAGCTATTTATGGTGCTTGACACAATGGGGTTTTTACCAAAACCACAACACCGTAAGATCATATCAGATTTTTTCTTTGAAAAGTTTATCTCTATCTTCTTGTAAGTATTGATAATGACTTTACCCACTTCTATTAGGTTGTCCAATTCCTGTCAAAAATGACCCCGAGAGAGTAAATGTTCCAAACAGTAGAACTCCTGATACTGTTGTAAAAAATCTTTCCTACATTATAGAGGATGAATTTGTGAATAATGGATCTGAGTCTCCAGTTTTTGGGGGACGTCAAAGCTGGTTAGAAAGACAAGAAAGTTTCAAACTGAATTTTACCATGAAGGTAAACTGATGGAATGTCAGAGTGTCACATTAGATTTACTTTGTTTTAATTTCACCAGGAAATCATTTCACTTTAGATATTTATACTGCTGTAGTTTTTATTACTTTTGCTTTCCCCTTGATTTTCCTTGGTCTCTTTTATTCTGTCCTTCAGGTTCACTGTGGATTCATGCAAGGTGGCGGTGCTGACATGATATCTGTAGATATTAAATATGTTAAGAAGTGTAGGTTTGTAGTTGCTTCTGGGATTTTCGATGGATATGATGTACCTCATCAGCCTTCAAATGTAAGCCACCGATCTAAGAAGCTCTTCTGTTTTCTTATGGTGGTGGATGAGGTCTCTCTCGATTTCATAAAGAAAAATGTTACTATCAGGGAGGACGATCAAGGGGGACAATGGGTTGGCATATGGCGACTCATTCTACTGAAGCATCCACCTTATGATGAGCCCAGAAGAAATGGGAAGGTTCCTAAAATTTTAACCCACAGGTTGTTCCCTGAAACACAGTACAGCATTTGGATTGATGGCAAAATGGAACTGATAGTTGATCCATTGTTAATCTTGGAAAGGTATTCTACTGCTGGCATACAATCATTCCAACTAAACTTTGCTCATTCTTTTCTTGGTTGTGGAGAAAGTTGAGAAATTGAAAGAAAATGAGACTTAAATACCATATCACATGCTATGACATGATAGCTTTGTTTAAATGAAAACCTTTCTTATTGTTACTACCTGAATATCTTTATTTTATTGTTTTCTTATTGTCTTCTTGGTGAAACAATTGATAACATGAATAATTTGAGTTGCAGATATTTATGGCGTGAAAAGAACACATTTGCCATTGCCCAACATAAGCACCATCACAGTATATATGAGGAGGCCGATGCCAACAAGCGAAGGAAGCGATATGCTCGACCTCTTATTGATCTTCACATGAAAATATACCGTTATGAGGGAATGGAACCATGGAGTTTGAAGAAAAGTACCCCCAGTGGTAAGACCTGAAGTCCACCATAAGTTGTTGTATATTCTTTTGCCCGTGAACTTAGTAAACTTGGACAACAAAAGAAGGATTCTGCTGGGGAAGTTTACTGAAAGGAAGATAAGAAAATTCCTTCCTTTTTCTATTGCAATAAGATAGAAAGATAAAAGGTCACTGTCTTCGTCTTAACTGGAAGTATAGATACTACCAGGAAAGGAGCTGTGGAAAATACTCTCACAAAACAGAGTCGGATGTTGAACTGTGAAAACAAGAAAAATAGAGAAAACTATCATATGGTATAGCAACGCGGCTACATCTGCGTAATGTTTGTGATTTTTACTATGAAATATTCTCTTAGGTTTAAAGTTTTTCAAAGATTTAAGGAAAGCTAAAAGTATGAAATACTCCCTTAACGAAAATGGTCTTGCCTAGAGCTTGGTGTGAACAGTATTCTCTCTGAATATGAGCTCCAAACTAAACAGCAATAGGCTTGCAGTTGCACTTTGGCCCTCTTAATGGACATTGATCTACATGTTTTTCATAGTTGACGTTGAGTTACAGGGTGCAATATAGGGTGCCTTGCGACCACCAAACTTAGTCACCTTGGTCTGCGCTCTTCTTTTGTAGATTCTAGAAATAAACATCACAAATTCCATTTTTTTATGATTCTAATAGTAAGAGAGCACAAGTCAATATAAATTTCTAGAGCAGGAAGTTCTAGAACAGTTATTTTGTTTGTCTCCAATGATTTAATAGTTAATTTAAGGATTTGTGTCTTCACATTTAGCTGTTATCGTGGTAATAATAGTAAGAGAGCACAGGTCAATATAAATTTCTAGTGCATGAAGTTATAGAACAGTTATTTTATTTCTTTCTCCAATGATTTAATAATTAATTTAAGGACTTGCTGTTATCGTGGTAATAATGATGCTGTCTGTACAGGCAGTGGATTTAATCTTTCATATTATTAACTGCTGTTAGTAATATGCAGATGTGCCGGAGGGAGCGGTAATCATAAGAGAGCATACTGCACTGAATAACTTGTTTAGTTGCTTGTGGTTCAATGAGGTCCATCTGTTCACACCAAGAGATCAGCTGAGTTTTGGCTATGTTGTGTACAGGTTAGGACCTGCATTTAAGTTCTATATGTTTCCAAATTGTGAGTACAACTCACTGTTTACATTGCACCCCCATACTCGAGAGCATTCCTCCAAAGTTGAGTGGGTGAAGAACCTTAATGAGTTGGAGGGAAAAGGTAGCAACATGAAAGAGAGCAAGGGCGGGTTTGGTTTGTGGACTCCTTATCCTGGAAATCTTGATTCAGTTGTCCTTCCCCCAGTTGCAAGAACTTCAAAAGCAGGCTGAAGTTTTGAACTCAACACATTTGATAGGTTTTTTTTTTTTGAATGTAACCTTTCAACATTGTTTGATCAATTTATTTTATTAATTTATGTCTGCTTCATTTAAAGAGTAGGCACACCCAGAAACTATATGTATAATAGTTAAAAGATGTTTAAAAATATGACTGGTATAATCTTTACCTGGCTATGATGAGATCTCCAAAAATATAGATAGTGGAATTTCTCATCTCTTTTTCGACTTTCAAAATAGGAATTATGTTTTTTGTTTTAAATTTTTTTTAAGATAGATAATCAAATATAAAATTGTATACTTCAAAATAATTTATTGTTCTCCGAAAAATTTAACTTAATAAATGTCTCGGTATCAGTTATATTGACAAATATATGCCAAATTTTAAAAGATTCTTTTTTCTAATTTAAACTATTTTGACGGATTAGTACAAAATTTCAAATTTTCTGTATTATTATTAAAAGAAAATACTAGACATATCCTTGATGGGTAAATACTGACATAAACAATTTTGAGGGCCAGAAAGACAGGCTAATGCATTACGACTGACTAAAATTTCCATGAAAATCTAAACCTGAGCAATAAAAGATATGGAACACGGTGTTTATTTCTAACGCAAAACCCTCATTTCCAGTTCAGCGAGTATAATCTTAATCCAGACCACAATAAACATAATATGTATCCAGACTGCATAAATAACAAGCTCTAAACAAGGATCTGCGGCAGGGGGTTAATGTACCTCACTAGGACAAAAAACTCTGCACGAGAGGGGCTCAATTTTGGACTACAGCTTTTATTACCACGCAGGGTAGGAAGGTAGGCCCAGCCTACTATAGTAGCATGCAAAAAGAACAAATTGGAGAAAACAAATCAAGGTAAGGGGTAGCCAAGCTGGTTTCTTTCATCAACTTGTTGCATCCCGACTGTAGTACTGGTCAAGAGTCTTTGCTGGTATACGGTGAAGAAGCTCACGAGGGAAGATGCGAAGCAGTGTCCATGCCAAGTCAAGGGACTGGAAGATGTTGCGAGTGTCATAAGCTCCTTGTGTCACAAATTTCCTCTCAAATTTATCCAAAAACTCCAAGTATAGCTGTTCCATTCAAGAATAACCTCATCAATTTACAACAGAAATACATACATATGTACATATGTATGTAGATAAAATACATATATGAATATACATATTTTAGGCAGATCATTGTTTGAGAGAGAGAGAGAGGGGGAGATAGAGAGAGAGAGAGAGACCAAGTCCTCAGAAGAGAGTGCTTCTTCTCCAACCACAGCTTTCATTGCCTGGACATCCTTGCCAATGGCATAATTTGCATACAACTGAAGAGGTTTAAAATTTGGAAAACGAACAGAAGTAAGACTTTGACACGTTCAGCCTTCAGGTGAAACCAAAACAACTTTGAGCTACATAACAATAAATTGGCACCTGGTTAGACACATCAGCATGGTCCCTGCGAGTCATCCCTTCACCAATAGCACTCTGCAAAAGTTTTACGGTTTTGCATTCAGAATGATCATAATTTAAAAGCCTATTTCTCCTCAACTGATTAGATTGGACTGATTACAAAACCAGAGTTTCAAGGAAATGAGACAACTCCGTACCTTCATCAGACGAGACAGGGATGGTAGGACATTGATTGGTGGGTATATCTGAAAACTCAGATTAGCCAACATTCAGTTTCAAGCATTAAATATTCTACGAGTTTCCATCTAGTTATTTCTTTTTTCACAGAAACTCTGCATGCTGAATCATTTCATTTCAATTGCCATGTTACATGAGAGAGATGAATATCAAAATTAAGATTCTTAATGCACCAGAGGAAGACATTTCAGTTCAACATTCAACTGATATTTCTTTTATATTTGTCTATTGTTATATGCATTCATCAAAGAAAGCATGGATTAAGCAATGATAACTATCCCAAGCTGTTCAACAAAGCAAAAGGACAGATGGAAAAAATTGTAATTGGCAAATAAAGGCATCACTACAAGTCAACTTCCTCTACCCACAACATGCCCTTCCATCGCAATTCTTTGACAAGCATTGCGTGCTAGAATCTATGTGGATGGTAGTGCTGAATACATCATGAATCAGTAATGGAGAGGTCACTTTCAAATCTGTTCAATCGTAAAAGCTGACAATTGACTTGTACATTATATTAAGAAACATTAGAAGCCTTTACCTGTCTATTGTGAAGCTGCCTGTCAATATATATTTGCCCCTCTGTGATATATCCTGTAAGATCTGGAGTTGGATGCGTAATATCTGCCCAAACAAAGAAACCAACTTCAAATGCTGCATAATCAACAAAACACTGAATGATATACACAGCAGTCGACACGGTTTACAGCTGTATTACCATCATTAGGCATGGTCAGAATTGGAATTTGTGTGATGGAACCTTTTCGTCCTTCAATTCTTCCGGCACGCTCATATATTGTGGCCAAATCAGTATACATGTACCCTGGATACCCACGTCTTCCAGGTACTTCTTCTCGGGCAGCAGATACCTACAGGTAGTTTGGCATATAACTTGTCACAAAACTATGAGCTTATAGAAAGTATCCAATTGAAATATTTCAAAAAGTTAAGTTCTGACTTCAGAGTAAAGTCCCAGAAAGCTTAAGTAGTTCTTCAAATATCTTCAGTATCTAGGAAGAACTACAATCAACGTAAGATTTAAGCATTTTAGACAGCCCTGGATTGTACTAGTTTGATATATTGCAGCTGAAAAACAAGGGATCCTGATCCTTTTCTCCCCTCACAAACTAACGTTTTTATCAAATCATCATAATTAAATCCAATGCTGAAAGAGGACTATAGTTCAGGTTTCATCAGTAAGCAGGTTATAAGGCACTCTTTAAAGGTGGCTGCAAAAGCAATGTGTTTATGGGAGGTGTCTGGGAGGTAGAGAGGAGAGGGGAAGGGTGGAAGGGATGACACAATTGCAGCAAAGCCTCCAGTATTCTCTCCCCGTTGCAAGTTAAACATAGATGTTAGTCATTACCTCACGAAGAGCATCAGCATAAGAACTCATATCTGTAAGTATAACAAGCACATGCTTGCCACATTCATATGCTAAATATTCTGCTGTAGTAAGAGCAATACGAGGAGTGATAATACGTTCAATTGTAGGATCATTTGCCTGCACAAAAGATTCGCATAGACAAGTTTTAGGAATTACAGCACTTACAGGTCCAAGTTAACTTCCCTTTCAAAATAATTAAAGTAGTTCATTACAAAAAATTAACACTCTGAAGAAGATACATACTAGGTTGAGGAAAAGGGTCACTCTCTCCATTGATCCATTTTCCTCAAAATCACGTTTGAAAAACTGTGCAGTTTCCATATTCACACCCATGGCTGCAAAAACAATAGCGAAATTGTCCTCTTCCTCATCCTGAAAATTTAGGGTATGTCAAAAACTCACCTTGGCGGGAAATTGGTGGTAGTATATCTATCACTGTGACAGATGGCAGTTAATAATTGACATATCAAAGTTTTTCTAACAGAAAACAATAAACATAAAGTAAGAACAACAAGACGTAACACTTCAGATACATACCACATAGATCAATTTACAAAACTCGAATAAATAGGACATCAAATACAATTAATTTTAAAGACTGCCAATATATTTGTGCTAACTTAAGACTTAAAAGATGATCTATATCCCAAAAAATAATGTGTTCTTTTGAAAGAAGTACTACCTAAAATGATATTTGGCTACATAGTAAATTGCCTAAAATGAAGTCAGTATAGCAGATACCAAATTTTACAACTAAAAAAGAATGGAAATAAATAAAGCATAAATGTATTTGGGCTAAACGACATGTAAGGCATAGGACAAAAGATTATATATATATATATATATTAAAATAATGTGTCCTATTGAATGGAGCACTACTTAACTGATATTTTGCTCTAGCGCTAAATTGTTCAAAACAATTCAAGTATATCGGATATGAATCTGTTCGAGCATTAAAAAAATAGAAAAAAAGATACCATGTATTCAAGCATATCGGATATGAGTTTTACTCACTGCAGATGTTCGAGAGTTGATATGTATTTATAAATATCAGCAAATAAAATGTACCTCAAGAAGATTTCCAGACTTCTCCAACCGTTTAACCAAACCAGCTTGGCGACAAATCTGAGCAGCAATCTCATTGTGGGGAAGACCAGCAGCAGAAAAAAGCGGGATCTTTTGTCCTCTAGCAATAGAATTCATCACATCAATAGTAGAAATCCCTGTCTGTATCATCTCTTCGGGGTAGGTTCTCTCGCTAGGATTGATAGAACTCCCTGCAGAAAGTATAAAAAGAAATTTAAAGCTCGGGGAACAAAGAGCATAAAAGTGAATATTTCATTGATATTCAAATATTATTTGCTCCATGAAAACATTTATTTTTTGTAAATAATAATTTGTCCAGCAAGAGCATAACATCACTGACCAGAAATATCCAAGTAAGCCTCAGGCAAAATTGGAGGACCATTATCAATGGGTTTCCCAGAACCATTAAAAATGCGCCCAAGCATATCCAATGAGACGGGAGTCTTCAAGACCTACAGAAGTGACAATTACAGTAGTTCAGATCAGTGGGAAAAAGCTTCCAAAACCAATGAAACATGTACAGGATATGAATAAAAACAATGACGAGGTAAACAATTTTTTCCTTCAAATGTAACTAAAGTAATGCCACTTGCAAAGCATGTTAATAATATTGAACATAAAAAGAATATACATTGAACATTGAAAAAGCAAGCTAATACTATATGGTAAGGGATAACGAGAAAGGTTTTTACCTCTCCTGTAAATTGCACAGTTGTGTATTTGTTGTCAATTCCAGATGTCCCTTCAAAAACCTGGCCAACCAGACGTCAAATGAACAAAGCATGCATCATTACTCTTAATTATACTCCAAATATTTAATTTTAGTAAGAAGGGCATCACAATTTGCAAATAAAGTAAAAGAAAAACATCTCCAGGACCATCATATATTCCCAAGAAGGGGGGGGAGGGGGGGAAGCCATATGGGACTGCAACTAAATGTTAAAGTATATTCTTAATTTCTCTTGAAACTACATAAGCATGTGCATAAGACTAAAAGAATGCGTAAAATGATGAACTGAGAGAAAAATTCAAATGGTCATTACCTGAACAACA